GACCATAATGATCATCTTATTGAAGAGTGAAGGGAAGACTAGGGGATTCAAAGTAAATGTTCAAAGCTAAGCTGGCTATAGTGTGAATACGAGGCTACGTCGGGGAGACCGTTTCCATGGGTGACATTTATCGTCATGGAATTGGAGAACGAAAGTTTCTTTCTTGTTTCGATATACTAGTAACTAGAACAACAAACGGTACGCTGCAAACATCCGCTTACAGAAAGGGACACACACGGATCACATTCAGGTTGGCGGCATCTGGTTCCGGAGTTGCTTGTCAATGCGGCCTTAATACCACAACTCCAGGAAGCCTACGCTTATACAGCGACCATGAGTGGCTTGCGCTGTACCACCTACAGCTTCAACCACACACCCTACATTCTAAGTAAACCCGAACGAATAAGATAGGAAGGCATGGGGATGGGAGCCACGTTTCATCAACGGAGCCGGCCCACACCCTTTCAACATGCGTAGCATCAGCATTCTTGTCTATTTAAGTGGAGACTCATGCGTAAGAGACCTACGTAAAGCGGTGGCTGAGTCGCAGCCCGCTTCACGCTGGATGCATGAAATCACTCTTTGAGCCTAGCACGGTAATGTGGACGGTGCATCCAGTCTTTTCAAGCAACAGCCAACTGTCTCCTGGAGCCAGTATAATCGAGGTAGTGGACTTTCGACAGGTAGGCCTCTTGTCAACATTCACACACAAAATAATCACGGAATAAGCAGTGAAACAACGTAGCTGGTTAAATCAAATAACGTGGAATACGTTTTGTCCAGTTTAAGACGATCTAGTGTAAGCGTAAGTCGGTATAGCCCCGCCTGCGATGAAAAAGTATGACGCATGCAACATCAACCTCAGAATGGGGCGCACAAATATGTATGTACACATAAACATGTATAGAATGCTCACTGTTCCATGCTCCATATGTATAGAAACGTTGAACGCTATCATTTTCTTACAAACGAGGCGTTGGCAGCGCTACACTGTTTGGCTGGGATCTTAAGCACCATTGAGTGGGGCCCTCGAAATGAGAAGTTCATTATGCGAATCCACATCAATGAGTTTATCGTAGGGACTTCACCGACGGAACCAACTTCTGACATTTGTGAGTAAGCATAACTGGTTTGGATATACGAGTTAGTTTATGTGGCAGGGGTTAACGAGCACCATGTTCATCCATCTTATCTCGACGGCGAACTTGGCCAGTTGTCCAATAAACGCAGACAGTCAACGTGCCTATTATTACTTCGAAAATGGGGCGTAACTGAAGCTGTCACACTGACAACCTGCAGTGGATGACGATGTTATTTGTCTCGCGCCGCATTAAATGTAGCCACAAAAGGGACGAGGTTGATTCATTGAACGTCAGTGCAACGCAACTCTTCGCAGCCTGTGAGCGCGTGTAAGCAACCTGGGAGGCATTAAGAAGTTTATACGCACCATTGCGCAAAGATAAGGTTATATGAACAGAGGATAAGCGGGAGAATCCTGCGTGTATTAGCATGGCATATAGCTTAACTGATGTGACGCCGCTCGGCCTCACTGTATTCCAATCTAGTTGAAAGGGAAAAGAGACAATAACAAAGCAATGAGGTTACATTGAATTAGCATAAAGCGTGCTCTGACAGCCTGTGTAAATATTGCACACTTTCCCAATGGAAAGATTAATTTGTAACTGACTGATCTATTGTTTGGTAAATGCGGATACCTATGACTGTCTTACAGGATTGTCCGTCCAGGTTGACCACGCAAAGTCGAGGGTTTTGAACACAACGAAGGAATCTTGGATGAAACGTTCAACTACGAAAACTTATTGTAACAAACGGCAACCAGGGTATTACTCCGCGCCTCTGGAGCGGTGAACATCTTAATAAGTTATATTTTCTCGTGGTACCAAGAAACTGAGCCCACAAAGAGACGGATCATGTTTACATTGCAACATGTTCAGGCGTGCGAGGTTGTCGATTGTTTGGGGTTTTCCGTGTTACAATAGAGAGGTTTATGCGAATATTTTCATTTGGGACTTTTGTCGCCGTATGCTGGGGGGCAGGGCGTGTGAACAGGATGAAACAGTTAAATTCACCAATCAAAATTAGCTGAGTAATGTACAATGTTACTTACTAGACTGGAGTAACAGAGTTGCAGCTGTTTGTGAGTAGTAAGGTAGGCAGTTGCGAAAATAAGAAACAGACTACATTAAAGTAACTTCAGTGGGTCATAAAAATCAAGTTACTTTATTAGAATAATGTAGGTAGTACTCACATCATAGGGATTTAAGGCATAGCCTAGTGTCTAGACATTCTTTGGTCTAACAATGGAGTTGAACTAATCAAGTTGCGTTTTGGGCTGCCGGATGGTTGAGATACTGGGTGAGCTCAGTTACATTCCTTTCAGCCTTCACTTGTAGATGGATATTTAGAGCTTGCGTTGTTTTGCGCGGAAAAGGTAATGTTAAAAAGGAAGAGTTAAACGGATAAGTTGACAAGGAAATAAGCGCCTTTTCACTGCATTCAGGACTTTTTCAGTGGTTCGTAGTCTAGTAGAAGATACCAAAGAAATGAAAGTGTGTAATAGTTATCCGATTCTTGGTGTAGAGATATAGAAGAAATGCACCGCAACTAAGAGCGAAGCTATGGTCTAAGGAATAAGCGAATGGAAAATATTGATAAGACAGTAGGACGGTAGAGGTACCAGGAACACAACGGAGTCAGTGCAGAAGGAAATAGGGCAAGAAAAATAAGTGAAGTAATACGCTCATTCGTGGAACCGTCTCTCGGGAAACTGTTTTCATGGGGGTAGTCCATCGAGAGGTTTCACCCTCCGGAGTAGCATGTGTCGTGGCGTAGGAGCATAACTTCAATGCCTGCGTCCCGAGTCCGAGTCGCAGCCCCTGATACTTTTATCTGAACAGCCAAAAGAACGGAAGCGGTTATAGAGTACATTGTTCACAGTGTGCAACCCCGAACACGTATCCGTACCCAGTGTTACTTCGAGCTATCATCCGGTAGTAGTCCGACCAGTCAACCACTCGCCAGCTTATTGGACAACATCTGTCATCCGATCGAGTGTCATAACGGTTGGCGACAAATATGAAACAATCGTACTCGTAACGATGTCATTGCTTGCGTGCTGTCCAAGAACTCACTATGCATCTGGATCAACTTTGGATGTAGAAGGTGGGGAGACTAGGTATAGCCAGGTTACATTTCACCAATACACTCTACTCATGGGTAGATAAATCGGGCAGGCATACCTCAAAGTGCAATGTAATTGCCAACGTTTAATGCGAACGGGAATAATGTTTATTATTCACTGGTTCAAGTTAACTTAGCTAGTAAACCCACACTCGAGGTATCCAGGACCTCTGCCTTGGTGTAGCTTGTTTCATCCTGGAATAACTAACGCGGTCATGCAGGTGAAGCACCTAGTCATTCATAGCAGGGAGCCGTAGTCTCACTGAATATGTAGCGTTTTCTGTTTCAGCAGGCCTTTTTACATCACATCGGACTGATAAATCCAGTATCGGTACATTGTAGATAAACATGGTTGGCGGCATCCGTTTCCGGATTTGTTTGCCACCATGACTGCGAATGGCCACAGGACACCTGTGCGTAGTTGAGACCATGATTGACTTACGCTGCGCTATCCACACATCCAGTACTTAGTGCTCCGTGGAAAGTAAATGACCAGAATGGTAAGACCCATAGCTGATTCCTAGCGTTTGTAGTAATATTTAACGCAAATACCCCATTGACGCAAAATAGAGGGCAATATGCACATGCGAAAATTGTTGGGTTGGAAATGTGCCAAAGTACTTTCTTCTCTAGCAACACTTGGCAACCTACTCGAGTCACCAATTAAGAGGGCTAGATCGGACAGTAAACCGCCCAATCTGCAGTCACGTCGAGTGCAGCTAGACCCAAGGCACATGGTGCGCGAATAAGGTGCGATAGTGCACGCTCAGTTGTATACGTGGATTGAAACTGTGGAGATGGTGCTACAGCACTCCGTGCCACATTCGTCGTAATATTATCCTGTTCCGGTAATTGAGGTCCTCTGATCACACAGATATACATTTCTCTTTCCATCGCCTCTTTGAACCTCACTCTTCGTGATCATGTTTGAAGTTTACCATACCTTCCTGGTTACGGCACAATCATCGGCATACTGTTCGGTATCTTGTGATTGTAGACGAAGTGGACAATCCACTTAACCCTAAGTCAAACAGTTATGTAGGGACAGAAGTTTTTCAGCTAACCTTGACGAGTATCACATATGGGAATAAAGAGACAGTGTAATACTAAGGTCAGAGCAGCTGGTGCGTTTACCACCTTTCAAACTATTATACATTATCTTTCGATATTTAGTGAGTTCAACCTACGTGCACGCACATTTGTTCAGTTTTTAACTGGCTACTTGGCAGCCTTTGTGACACGGTGTTAAAGCAACACCCACAGAGGCTTAAAAAGCGCTTCCTAAGGGTAGCAGAAACGCTTGCGATTAAGCTAACGCAACCATAGTTTTACAAGCAGATGTTGTTTCAAGCTCTAAGTTTACCTTGGTTGTAGCAAGAATTCTTCTCAATGGAACGATGAGAACGACCGAGTGTGTTTTCACATCTCGACTGAGCCATGTTTCATGAAGAAGTCAGCTAGTTGTCCAACTCTCACCACCTGATCTGATTGATTCGACTTCGCTTGAACAATGTCATCCAGTTCTGTCTCTTTCACTTCAGCTTTCATTAGCCCGTAATTTTCTCCATTAACTTTGTAGAAGTATTTGCCTGACGCGATTTGCCGAAAGGACATCAATTTACAACCGTGTGTTCTACTTTTCCTGTACCGTTTAGGTGCAGCTCTATCTAGCTGACTCCTCATAGTAGTCGATTTCGGTACCCAGCAAACTTAGTAGGATAAAATTAACGAACGTTTTATTCATTTTTTTATTTTTGCGTTCACTACTAACGGCCATTGATTTGTTTTCCATTCCACAGGTCTGGTTCAAAAATCGGCGTGCAAAGTGGCGCAAACGCGAACGACACCTCGACGTGGTGTTACGAGGACCTTTACCAAATCCATTTGCACCTCTGATCCGGTCCGGTATGCCAGGCTTTGACCCCGGTACGGGCCAGCTGGACTATTTTTATGGTTCAGGGCAGAATACATTTCCTTCTTCCATATTTAACCCACCCTCAGCTATTCCAACTTCAGCGACTCGTGGCCAGCCGTCGCAATCCTCACTCAATGCTGCGGCCAACTCTTACTCTCTTGGTTCGGCAGCGTACGGACACGTATTGTCGTCCCCCAGTCAGTTGGGGAGTTCCTCATTATTTCCTTCTATGATTCCTTATTTGTCATCCACTCGTGGGGAAGTGCGAGAGTTACCATGCTACTCTGATGCTACTTCGACCACCAGTGCTCAGAAACTCACGCTAAACGCACCCGGGAACGACGCGACACAGTATTACGGTGATGGTGCAGGGGCTGCATTCAACCTACCCTTCGCGCAAACCAATTGCAACTCTCCCCGTCTGTCTGGACTGACGTATCCTTCCTCAGATATCAGTATGCCTAATATGGAGCTCAATGCTGCTGCGTTTGCCGCATCAAACGTCTTCAACACCTATTCCTCAGTGATCCACAACATGAGCCCATCGGGCCTATTCGATCTGACGGCTTCCTCAACAACGCCGTGTCCCTTTATACAGGCTGGCTGCCCACGTGTTTCACACAGGTCGTTCGAACCCGTACTGTCCGCTACTCACTTGGTACCTCCAGAGCAGTGCATCCATGAGTATCCCTTCACCACACATACAGCAGCATCATCCGCTAGACAAGAGCTCAATGTAGCTGCAGCTGCTGCGTGTATGGCTGCTTGGTCGTCAGCCAAACCATCACTACCAGAGGAGATTGCTCGCGGCGGAGGACACAAATCGCGACCCTTGGCTGTATCAAGTGACTCCCGATCCTATCTGTCCTGTCCAACCTACTTCACAGATGAACTCATCAAACAACCTTCGCTGGGAATCAGCGAAGGTGCATCGAACCGTGCCTATGTTCAAAGTGAAGTGGAACAGTTGACTTGTGAAGAAGTTGCGTTCGATTTTCCAAAATATTCTCCTCTTGGCCCAGCAATCCACAATCAAAGAGTGGAATCTGGTAGCACAATGGTACGCCCTTCCATAGGCAACTCCGCGTTCTTCCCCACATTAGACGGAACTGCGTGCACTGACATGTTTTCAACACCGCGTGAGTTAGCCGTCTTGGAACAATCGTTTTCTCAAGATTATCCATCGGAACAACAAGGTCTCAATCTGAAAGTTGAGGACTCGTCTCACGCAGTACCAACAAATCCCTATGCTACTGTAGACTTGACTCAACAAAAAAGCTTTCCTCTGCTCTCTACCGCTGCGATGATGGCCGCGGCTGCTGCAAGAGCCAGTTCCTCTTCCTCTTTAAATGATTTCCCTCCCAACAGCGGTTTATTACAATGGAATGTGAAGCGGAGTCTTTTAGATGAACTGGATTGCGGCAAGAACATCGACCTGAAACGTGTTCCATACGCCTCGAGTTTTGTTATGACGGGTGACCACCAGCCAGTTTTTGGAACTCCTGAGGTGCTGAAGCATACCATCGCGGACGGACGTGGCTCAAGAATCTTGAACACTTTGGACCAGCCAGTTGGGCCAGAAGACAGCTCGTCCCACTGGGCCTACACGTTTGATAAATTTTTTACTGATCCTAAGGCGCCCTGTTCACAACTGAAGCAGTCGCTTGCTCCATTAAACGAGATTGCGAAAGTTAACTCAGTGTCCCCACAGAACTACGGACCAATGTGAATGCTATCAGCCACGCCGGAATACTGTGTGAAGTCACACATTGGCGCCCATCAATTCGGTTAAGGTGCACATTCCAAGAGAAAATTTACAACTGCCAAAATTGATCGCAGATGAGGGGACACGGGGTCTCCATACACAGATGGCTACTGACTTATGAGTTTATGTTCTTTCTCTCGCTTACTTTTTTGCATTAAATGTTGTTTTCAACTCTGGTAGACGGTATTTATCATAATGACAAGCTGCAAGTGAGAAGTACTTCAACTCTTTTTGGGTGGTCAGTGATATTATTCGTTCGTTTAAGCGCCATATGCTTCCGATTAACGAATGAGTCTCATTTCCATTCGCAGGTGTCTATGAGTTCCACTTAAATGGTACCAGTGGGTTAGTAGTTTATTACTTATGAAAAAATGGGAGGATTTTATTGTTTCATCAAAAGTTGCTTCCGATCTGAACTTGCTGGGCTTAGTATAGTCCGTCCATCAAACAAAGGAAACCGGATTTCGGTCATGAACGAGGATGTGAATCAAAAACTCATTTAACAACTAACCACACAGTGAAGTGTCTAACTATCTGTGAGCGCGCCGATTAGTGGATTTGTTTCTCGAGTTAATCGTTCTCTTCATCACCGACAGGTACATGACGCGTGCTCCTACTCAGGGACCATAGTGGACTTACCCAATACCGCCTTTGCTCCAGCGTAACTCTGAAGAAATAAGACGGGGATACATGCAAAAGGGAATCACGATGGAATAAGAGCCACTACGTTTCTTTAACATGCATATCAGTGGTATTAAAAGGAGGAAAATATCTTGCCAGGTACACTCAGACCGGTGGCCAGGCCGTATCCTTTCCCCCGATAGAACCACACTTTTTGACTAGTAATCTCCCACGTACAGGAATCAAGGTGGCAACATCCAACGAATAGGCAATCCGTCATTAATCGCGTAGAGCTTGGACACGAGGCACATTTTCTCGGGGACAAGCATCCTGTTGATGACGGAACAAGATTCTATGGCGGATAAAATATACATACTTAACATGTCCCGTAGGTTGATAATGGAAGGAATTACGAATTCGCCTGCCACAAAAATCATCCAAATAAACCGCGCATCTGTGAAGCTATAGAGAAATGGCATAAACATCTGGGTTGTGGGCGTGAGATGGGTGATGCTTATATTATTTTATAATAGCAAACAATAATCAGCTTGCTCACTCTTCTACACAGATTTGAGTGAGTCACTGTGGGTTATGATTCTAATGAAACTAGTCCAGGGATGTATAAACAGTTTGCAAGACGGGCCACATTTTGTGAGGTAAAAATATGTTGGACTCACAGTCTGTGTG